ATCGATGGAGGCAAAACATTTTTATCAGGTAGTATAAGAGATGACTTGGAAATGACGTGTTTTGTGATGCCATCTTCCGAAGAGTCATTTACCGGTTTCTCCCAGGCTTGAGTTTTATTAACCATTGAAAAGAAGTGCCCATGTACCAGCTTTCGTTACGTCCGAATCTATCCCGACTGCTGTTGCCTGGGTTTAAGAAGACTGACATTGTTTTAGCACCCGCATTTCCTGCGGGCTGCAGGGCAAATACGCACCGAAGTGAATTTCCGATTATGCGTATCTGGCTACTCTAGACGTTCTTTGATTTTAACCTTTGTTGCTCATAGTTACTACAGAAACATGCGAGGGTTGGTTACAATACTCCCTGTGAAATTAAGCCGCAATGCGCTAAATTCTAGAGAACAGCGGTGTATTTTTAAGTTCAAGTGGCCGCTGTATACTAACACAATACCACGCCATTGTGACAACTGATATTAAATTATAGGAATGCTGTTTACTTTGTTATTTTACTAGGAGCTAAACTCTGCTAAACAGCAGAGTTGTATCCACTGAACGATTCTTTTAAGTGAGGAACGAATTTTCTCACTAATATAAACAACGGATTCCAGCCTTAGGCTTGAGATGGTTCTGTGGTTAAGACGCGAACTTATTTTCGATACGGTTCCGGCAAGCTTATGAAAAGTCTGAAGCCGGTTAGCTCCCAAATTAATTGGGATGCATCCAGGCCAGTATGCTTATATAACCTAATGTTTTTTGTTTCCTGACGTGGAATATTTCGTCTTTTTTATAGTCGGGTTTTTTTTTACTCTTTTCAGCTCAACTATCGATTCAACATGCTGTTGATGTTACGTGAACCATTGATGTTGATAACAGCCTTTTGCATTATCTTTGTATGCGTCTTGATCTATGTTCGTTTGGACTTCTCCATTTTTCGAGTAAGTGGTTTTGCCTGACAGGAGTTTTCTCCCCAAATCTCGTTATTTTCGTCATATGCTTGTCCGCTTATCTCCATGGTTTGAAGTCCCCAGACATCTTTTCTCTGCGCTTCCACCCATAAGTGTAGCGATAGTAGTAATATTTCGCCTTTTCGATAATGAATTTTATTTCTCTATCCACAGAGGTGTCAAACATTCTAGCTTAGTGGTTGCAGACAGGTCTGCCAACAGCGGTCCTCGTTGCTGGCCTCCCCCATGATTTTCCGTTGATTTTTTTTTGGCCGCTCAGGTACCGGTGCATGATGTGCATTTCGAACCACGGAGTTAGTAGTGTTTGTCTTCATCATCACCAGGAATAATCTTCGTCCCACCGCATAAGTAAGACACTTCGTTTGAAGACCTTTCTCTGAGACAAATAAGAGGGAAGAGTAGATGGACTTAGTGCTAGCTTCATGTGTCAATCACTATCGAAGTGCCATTTTTCGGTTATGATTCATCTACTGTTTTTCGGCACACGTAGTTCTGTATACAAGGCGGTTTTTCTGAAACATGACCTACTTGAACTTCTTCGGAACCTTTTTCTGGATGGTGTACAGAATACTGTGTCTGAAGAGCATCTATTCATGATTTTTAAACAATAAAACCTAACTAAACTTCGACACGGTGTATTGGATGATAGCCGTATCAAAAAGACGCGTGCTGCTGTTTGATTTATTTGTTTAATTCTCGAGACGGGTCTAGAGACCGTGAATTCAACAGCAATTCTGCATTATAGTGAGCTTCTGCACACTACTGGGACATGAATTTTCCGCATTATTTTACCATGTGATAAGGATTGTATCTTCGTGTAGAAGGTAGCGTGTCATCCACTTGATATCTTCAGACGGTAGAACGCCTATCTGCACTTCTATCTTTCTTTTGACTCATTCTGAGGATAGTCGAAGCTTGTGTCGCACTGGTTTGCGCTGGTAGTGAAAACCGATGTGCACTGCCTTAGTTGACTGATGGGTCAATGTGACTTGAGAATTCTTCCCTTATTGTTTTAACCAGTTGGTTACGTTTACATGGTCATATTTGGAGCACAACCTAGTGTTTTCACAGGTCGATCGTCCTAGAGTAACTTGCCCCGAACAGTTTTCTCTAAGACTATTTTTTCTCACCTTTTCTGATTGCAAAAGACTTTTGAAGTCATTCGTTCGCTTCGAATTGTCGGAGGTGCCTATGTATTGGTACTGTGGTAACCAACTTGTCTAGGCTGTCTAGGCTTGGGCAACCTGGCAGTATCTCAGCCCTCGGGCTTCCTTCGGGTGGCATGGCAGCTGGGCATTGGAAGAGTGCTACAGCTGAAATATTGTTATATTTTTTTATTGACCGACTTGTTATTTAGTGAACGGATTCTAGGTGTTCTGATGCCAATAGACGAATTTCGGTGTGGGAGGAATTACAACCGAAAAATACTGTCATGATTGGGCCTCTATCGATACATGGAGTTCGGTTGCCTTTACCCAACAGAACCTTTTCTAACGGTCTCGAATCTGCTAAATGCGCTATTCTGGGGTTCCTTAATAACCTTATCACAGAAATTTTCGGGGATCTTATTACGCACTGATGTCTTCAGAGCCATTCAGAGTTTAATCAAGCCTACTTGTCACCCTCTGTGCATCCAGTTTTGACGCTTGGAACATCACAAATCCGTTGCTGTCCATGACTTGGCAGGTCATTTAGCCGCGCTGGGTGTCATTCATCAATAAGCATGTGCTTTATACGAGGTGCAGTTGCTGACTCGGTGCCTATCACATCTCGATAACTATCACCAGATTCCCATTAGACTAAATGAGGCAGTTTCCGCACTGCAGTTCCGTCGCCACGCTTGAAATCTGGTAAAATGTCGTTGACCATGGATCTTACCGGTTAGCCTAATGGTTTGAGTAGTCCATGTGAATAATCAAGAAGCAAAACAGTTTTGGCCAACAGTCGCTGGTTGTTTGGTTTACATTCACCTCTATCTGTTGCTGTTTTTACCCGTTTACGAATAGGGACGCCTTTTCATTTCAGGACGAGAAAGCCGAACTGCGCATGCGCGCCCAGGCTATTGTTGACGAGGCACAGGAATTATATAAACGGCGTACGTATGTCTATCAAAGTTACGAAGATGCAATCAACCGATATAAAGCTAGCAAAGACGCCACACAGTTCGCCACTGATCGTCGTAAGTTGGACGCGGAACATAAAGAAATCAACCAAACATTGGCCCGTGTGCAGACGAAATTGAGTGAATTATGTTTGGAAAGCAGCGAAAGGGTATGTTATGCTGCTATTCCATGGTTTTCATGTTTCTCATCGTTTCGTCCTTTAAGGTGGCCTCTGGTATTCGCGTCCATTTCAATGCAGAAGCCCACCTTATAATCCTAGGTTTCACCTCTAGGATATCAGTAATACGCTCATGTCCCGAATCATGACCTATTTTACTCAACAGCAGTCTTGAGTTAGTAAGGAACGCGCGCGGCATGGTTCTTATCACTTATGCATCGGTTAAGTGTTCTTGTGCCTGAAGAGCTTGTTGAAAAATGCCCGCGTCCATTTTGCATCATATGTGACGTACTTCTTCACTTTACCCGTTTTCAGTTCTGTTGTCCAGTTGGCCTGTTTATTACTACTGCTTATCGTTGCTTTCAAAAAGAAGCTTTACGCTCCAAAGCGCGTCATTATGATTTTCATAAAGTGCACAAATTATCCCAAGTGATTTACCCATATCAGTGGGAAATAGTGCCTGGTTCTTAACGTACTGATTTAGAGGGTCTCTCTCACATTGAAGGAATTGGAATTAAAGAAGCATTGATGTCCATTATTAGTGCACAGGTGATGATAGTCATAATACAAATCAGGTGAATGTGCACTAATAGAAGTTTTTGTATGGTTGCGACACGTATAAAAATAAATACAGTGCGAGGATGGGAGCAAGTCGAAAAGGGAACTTATCGTATGTGAGAGTCCCTTGGTGGAAGTCCGGACGGCGGGAACGTGTTTTTCTCCGCAGTTCGACTGCTACACGTACTCCATGGTTGTCCGTGGACTTGAGGAGAGGTTGACGTCCTGCTCCCTGCGCGCGCGTGAGTCGGTGTGGTTTCTCTCCATGTAGGTCCGAGTGCGTATACGTGGGCGCGTCGGCACATGAGTGGTTGCTACGCTGACTAGGCGGTGCAGACAATCGATGTCCGATGAGTCAGCTTAATGCGACGTGTTTGTGCGTATGAGAAAAAAAGAGAAGCCTCGCGATCCAGTGAGGCTGTGAGTTGAACAGTCAAGTATGTGGGTGACTGGGTTCATAAACTTGTGAGCACTGTTGTAAAAAACTTCCTTTGTACTATAGTGACTGCTTCCTGTGTGATGATGAGTAGGTCCCTATAATCCCGAGGTGCTGCTGCCCATGACCGATGACCCATAGCAGGATAGTCCAATTTTGGTCCCACCGATGGAGCTCATATACAACATAGTATCTGTTGATTAGCACCGGCTTTCGCGCTCAATAGGCTGTTAAGTTTTTGCTCGGACCAGCAATAGTTTTCTCTACTGAAGCCATTCCTCTGCCACCTAGCGCCTCCTTGCTGCCCAAACATGGACACAGACTGATAACATTGTCGCTGGTCACAGCTGGCGGAGTTGTGTTCAGAACCATTGTCCCCGCTGACCTATCTGTCGATTTTGATCATAAGTTGGTATTTGAGAGACCACCAGGAACACTTGGTGAGGGTGCGACTACCGGGTTGAAACGAATCCAGATAAGTTCCCTAACCCAGATGGGCACTGAGGGCCTTGGCCCAAACTAGGCCAATTTACAAACTGTGCTGTACTCAGCAGCAGTAAATTGGTGCGGTCAAAACGAGCGGCACACAGACATCCTTTGCCCGTTTGACGCACGGCACCAGCTACCAACATTGCACACTTGGCCGGAAACGTAACACCAAGAGCGTCTGAGCTGACCGAAATGGAAGATTCTGGGACTTCTCGGGAACGTGAGCAACGTCACCGATGCAAGGTGGAGATATGTCAGCTGCATTATGTGCGAGGCGATTGACACCGGTACATAACTCAAAAGCGCCTAAAGCATTGAACGAAACACTTCTAAGCTTAGTTTATCTGGTCTTTGTATTATCGAATATGGCCATTTTTACTCTCGGACCCTATCATACCACAGATTCAGAAATTAGAGTAGGATTGTGAACTTGACGTACAATTGATTGCACCCTAGCAGCTTGTCACCTACACTTTTTGTTCATGGTATCGGTGTGCCAGTGCGAAAATTGACCTCCATGTTCTAACTCTAGCCCTTTCACCTGTTTTTGGGATTTTTTCGATCAACTGCTCTTCGCTCTCGATTCCTATAGGACTTGATCTTTCAGCTCTGAGCGACATTCCCCGTTTTTGATTTTGATTTTGTTATTTCTGATTGATTCGGCTGGTCACGTTCGCAGAATTTCGTGACAGAGTTCGTTAACCACTTGTAGGTATGTAACTTACATCTGACAAAGCGGGGTGAAGTGCCAGTAAGCACGACTATTACGGTCAATCAGGTGATAGGAGAGAGGTGGTATAAATTCCTGATTGTGCATGATTGCTAGGGCAGGACTGACAAGTAGTTGTGATTTCCGGCCCCGTCACTGCTCGATTCGTTCCTAACTCCTATGGTAGGTCAAGGGAGGCCTATCGGAATAAACCTGTTGGTTGGATCGCTCTTGTCTCAGGGTCGAACTGACTGATCCTTTTTAATAGGTAAATAGTATACGTGACTCTTGAATTCGTGACATACTGTTGACTGATGATCGCTGGCATGAGTGCCCTGTCAAGGTCGATTGGGCAAACGGAACAGTTCAGTGATTTTTGTGTTGAATACATCAAGTGTAAGTTTTTGCTTGCCATTTTCAAGAGCGAAGGCTTATGGTCAGCTGGATTAGATTACTTTGGGACTGGCTCGTAGCGCGACATTTTTGTTTGATAAGGTGCCGAAAACGATCCATGTAGATAGGATTTTGCTATCTGGTTCATATCATCACCATGGACCTCAAAACACTGACATTAGCTGTCGTACTCACTGGATATACTTCCGAACGGGATAAAATACCAGGCGCACGGACTGGTTTCACGGATGTATGGAGTCGATGTAGGCCGTTCATCGAAGTGTATGTGATAATAAGGTTCACTACTTAGTCTTCCTTTTCACGAGGTATTCGCCGCTATTTTTGCCTTAATATGTAACGATTGGGGAGGGTATCATCTGTCACTAAGGGATAACATTCTGCAAACCAATCCTCCGTATATGGACTTGATCACCACACGCAGCTGTTTATCCGCCGTTGTGCTATCCGTTCTACAGTTAGCTTCTAGTGCTCAGGTAAGCTGATTGGGCGTTGCTCTGTTTCATGTTTCCATGCTCACGTTAAGTTCTGCAGCCTTTGGCGTTTTCAACCGCTAATGGCATGTTTTCGTTTTGCCTAGAGTTTACTATGCTTCCCTACTCACCCGCTATATATATTCCATGTTTTACTATTTCTAGTTGAAAGAAGTGATGGCAATGGACGTCGCCTATCGGGACCTTCTGCATGAGAGTGCCCAACAAGCTGAGCGTGTATTAACTGGGAAGATTACGAAACAGCAGTACCAGACTGCTGATAGTGACACGAGTGTGAAGAAAGCTGATCTCATCGGTCGAATGGACGCTGCCATGGACAGCCTGTGAACTCCGTTGTGGCAGGCGTGTGACTTTCTGTGGCAAGCACACTGCCATTTTCTCGTTCGAATAGTTTTCTGTGGTTGCACTGGTTGTGCAATATTGGCTTTGATGTATTGTTCCATAATAGGGGTACATTGTAATAACCTGTTTTTGCTACCCTCGGATACGTACTGCATTCCTTCAATAAATCGAGTCGATAGTATTAGCACATGTTCGCGTTAGTCTCGGTCGGATAGACTGACCCCATATAAATAACCGAAGGCAGTTGTTAGACGCTGCTCTCGGGGAACAGTTTTTCCCTTGAGAGCAACTATCCCTCAACTAATGCCACTTACCACCAGTCCCGTGAGATTAGGCTCGGAATTGATACTTTTTGAGGAGCCACTCCGAAGTCCAAACCAAGTCAGTTCAGATATTCCCGTGGCTCAAAATTCGTGCACTGGGATTTTATGTTTCCTGAGATCAATCAAATACCTGATCAGTGTTGTGGAGACGTTCGGTAGCAATGAAGTTATCGTTATTTGTATGACATCTAAATAGTACATTGTTCTCCGTGGAGGCTACCTTTGGAATGAAAATGCTTGTTCCTAATCCTTCATCAATTTTACGGCTAAGCTCCCAGAAGAGACCGCCTCTGCTTGGTCCCTTCAATGAGTCCAACCTTCGTAAAACTTTCGCTTCGGATAGACCATTCAAAAGGACGACCGGAGAAAGACATTTTAAAAGTTAATCTCATGGAGGGACCAGGTTTTTCAAGTTGAGATTTTCTGAAGATCAGTCGGGAGTGGTCATCCAAAGGCTGTAAGATGATGTCATAAATTGGCAAGGCACCCTTGATTTCGCAGTGCGGTAATTACAATCGGTGAGAACACGGAAGATGTCATCTGTAAAATTACTTCGGACTCCAAGGTTTCCCTTACTCATGACCAATTGAGGGGCTGATGCCCAACGCCATGAGGTTTGGTGCTACCGAGTCTCTACTACAAAACTGAGAAGTAAGATATCCTCTTCATGCTACCAACGGCGTATACGTAGCTCAGAGAAAGAATGATTTCACAGGATCGAAGCTTCCATATTAGAAGTCACCACTGGAGAAGCATGTCGACACGGGAAGTCCCGTGGTGTGGATTTTTGGTTGGTGGTGGTTGCTGAAGTACGAGCACAATCCGATCGGCCGCTCATGACCGAACAGTTTAGTTTTGAACTGCAGGGTCGCGGGTTCGAAGCTCTCTGAGTTTCGTTGGATGCGCCATGCTGGTGATTCCCAATGAGGGCGAAATAGCCACGCAGTATTTCAACTTTTCAGCATGTGTCAGCTTCATTTGCATGAAGCCTCTGTTGAAAATAAAAGTAGTTCATTAGGACAAATTGTCTAGAATTCTTGGCTTAGTTTGCCCCCCAAATGTCCCATTATGGAGAGTAAGGATCGTCTCTTCTGTGAAGGGACCCCCACAGTAGAGACAAATTTTGTTTGTCCCCTCGTGTGGTTTCTCTCAGAGCGAAACAACCATAAATGACCTGTAGATTCCAGAAAAGATTAGGTTGGCAAAAATACTGGCTGTTTCCGAACCACTTAAAGGGTTCACATGTGGAAAACAGGAACTGCTGCCATCGATGAGAAACCAACCGGGATGAATCCACTTACATACTTAAAGTCGATTTGTGCGACAAGTTGTTCACTTGACCATCCACCTTGCTAGTTATGCTTTTACTGAGGATATGCACTTGGTATGAAATGGGGACGTTTAGTTGTGACACTGATACAAGAACTGGAAACCATTTCGTTGAAATGTGCAAGGTTTAATTCGACTCTTGTCGCTAGAGTTCATAAGGCACTGAGTGCAACTCTGATGAATTACATTCCATTATTTCGTACCGTTTAGTACTATTAATTCTTATTTTGACTTAGCTCCGGTTACCATCTGGCTCATCTCAGACGTGACTTGTTTCATCCATGCTAAGTTCACTCCAAATACGTTAGGTGCGTTACTCTTGGAGTATGCTGATGTCCTCAACCTTAATGGGCTCACATTCTTGGATATAAAATGAAATAAGCACGCCTATAGTTAAGTGGACGTTGGTGACAGATTCGTTTTTGCACGGTTCACGGCCTCACTGTTCGTAGTCTGCTGCAATTCATTTTTAGTGAACCTTGTGCCGAATTTGTTGACCTCTATTGTTTTAGAAAGTGAAAGTATTTGAACACTAAGCCTTCACTCGGACGCGCTTCTCCGTTGCTGAACCAGGTGATGGTTTCCTAGGGATATTTCCCTTAATTTTCCCGGCGCAGGGGCACATTGATCTTGCTGAACTTGAAATACGTATCTTTATGGGATGCCGTTGGTTTTCTCCTCAGTTCTTCATTTTACACATAAAAGAAACAGACGCACACAAATGCTTCCGTACAGACAGAAACAGTACATGGATGTCTGCAGATCTTTCACGTGCACCAGAGGCCGGAGTTCCCAGTTGTCATTTGACCCCCAAGCTAGCTGAGAAGCCACCTGACGCAATAATGGCATCTATCAATGCACGGAGGAAATTATACGGCTGTTAAGATGGTCTCCATCTCTGCACAGTTACGGCTAAGTATGATGCTCAAAAGAACATGCCCTTCAGTAGGTCGTTGACGGCCGATGCAACTTCGGCTACCACTTGATTCCTCTGGCGAGTGGAACACCCGTACAGGGTTCTCTGACGTTTTGTATTGAGTCATTCTGATTGAAAATCGCAAACCGAGGTAAGAATCAGTCCGTTCTGCGTAGGACAGTGATTCGATGTAATTTTTAAGGCGTTTCTACCTATGGACGCATAGATAGTGTAGTGGAAATGGATAGAGTTCTTGATGGAGGCACACAGTACGTACCCGGATCCTTTTTAAGCTTTTCCCATTTCACCGTAGATTTTCGCTTATATGACTCAAGGAGGTTAAAATGCATCGTGCAATCTTGACTTGAGGACGCACTTGCCATGAGTTGCGACTTAGATCAGGAGGTGGGCAATAGAAAAAAAGTAACATCCAAATACAAGTTACTAAACATGACTGTCAAAGGATGCAGATATCAGACGGATCGGACCAGCAACCAGTGTTATTTATTTAGTTAGCTGTTATTGAATCTGGGTCATCCATCCCTTTGAACCGCCGACCAACCGTTGGAGGGCCAGCCTACATCACGTGAGACGGATAACGTGCCAAATGACCAGTGTACAAGAGTGAACATTAGAAGTAATACCCAATTGAATGGCGTTCAGATATTTTACGCCATTTTATGTCGAGATGATTGGATGTACTTTGTAACATAGTCTATATTGGCGTGCATCATTTGCTCAATTATGGCGTAAGCATACAGGAAGTGGGTGTTTTTCGTTATCATGTATAATCTGTCCTTATGGAAAACAAAAGGTGTCTCGGGATCAGTCTGATGTCAACTTACGACAATCATTTTGTGGTACAAACTCAACCGTACAAACGGTAAGGGCGCTCGAGGGCAGACTTTACGTTTTTAAACGAACGGATAAGGGTTGGAAGAAGTAGGCGAGTAGGCACGAAACGGCAACTCTGTTTCAAGTGAAAAATGACGAAACGGATAAGGGTTGGAACTGGGTTGTACTGGTTGCTTGTCTGTTTTTTCATCGAAGAATTAGGCGAGTCGGCACAAAATGGCAATGTGATCAACCGCCATTACACAACGATAATATGAATACAACTCGGTTGTTTCCACCAGATACCTCTCTCAGCAATGCAAAGCAAACTTCTGACCTCACTCACGCTTCTGTTTTTATAGAACTACGAGCATGGGCATTGCCCAAATGTTTTATGCAAACAGCTCCAACGACACCAAGTACGGCTGTGCGACATGGGATGAGAATGTATGCTGCGTCCGTCGGACCACGAATGTTCGGGCTTGTCCGGACACCAACTTATTCTCCGTTTAAGCAGTAGCGCGACAACTGAAAAAGGTTATGAAACGTGGGGAATTTGTGAGTCGGCTTGTCACCGTATAAGTTGTCCTTTGTGGGAATAGCAGTTCTACGCAGTTAGGGAACGCCAACCTTTCCGCTACATCCGCCGAAATATAGTCGGATGTATATTTTAGAGTGACGAAAGACGGAATGTTTCACTGTTTATTAAACATTTTCCCCTATATGATTCATGAAGAAGGGTGGAAACTTTGCACATGTATTGCAACTGATCTTCCAAGTGACAGCCTTGGAACTTGAAAATAACCAACGAGGAAAGGCGTTTATTTTACGGTTTGTAATAATAGCGCCCAGCACAGCCTAATTTCGATACATGTATAATATTTTACCTTAATGTTGTTGATGTTTGTTACCGTTGGTTAACTTGTGTACGTGATGTCTCTTCCGTTTGCTCAAAGTGTGATCAGGTGGAGCTCGTAGGACGTGACTGTAGGTCAAGGCAAAGGGCAGAAGTGAAAGCCGTAAAAGTTGAAATTAATGCTCTGATCTTATTCGGGACGCAACTCATAGCATATCTACCCACGGCTTCTACCAGAGGCCTAAGCACCAAAGCCACTATGTAAATTATACAAGGGCTTTTCCCTAGTCGTCGGTCCTGACCATAAAGCCGTAGCTAATATTCAGGTATTTGGAGGGCTACATTTAGGTGAATCTCTGGTTAACGTTGTTTTTCCTCTGAGCGCGGTTGATTTGGAGTCGGTGATCGTCGCGTAAACAACGGAAACGGACCCCTCCAGTTGTATTCTGATCATGAACTGTTTCTGGCTAGTGCGAACTCTCAACGTTCGCAGCTCGTAACCTGGCGGCCACTAACTGTAAATCAACTATGAACTTACTTTAACCTCGTGACCATCAACAACCGATGGAGAGCCACAATTCAAGGCTGTCATTGCTTCTGGGGCACACAACTTGATTCCGATCACGCAATGGCGTGTGCACGCCTGACAGTTTCCCCTCAGTCCATCGCAAGTCGGCGAGAAGCATGTCAGTCTATCATTGAGAAACTACCATAGCACAAAACTGTAGAACGGAACATGTTAGAAACCGTCTTGGACAACTTGTAACTGTTAGTTTCAGAAGAGTTTGGTAGACAGTCGGTAGTTTTTATTTGAGCAACGTCTCGCTTTTGACACAAAAGCTTCATCAGGCCACCAAATTGGCCAGGTTATAAGACAGACGGGGAACCCATTCAGTAAGTCCTCTTCAGATCATCACACTAAAT